GATGGTTGACTTTTTACAACTTTCTCCCATCTCCCGACTGCATCTCTGGAGCTCAGCCACAGTCATTTTTGGGTTCTTCTGTACCTCTCTCACCAAGGCTCTTCTCCCCCGATAGCTCAGTTTGGCCTGACGGCCAGCTCTAGGAAGGGTTCTGGTCGTCCCAAACGTCTTCCATTTAAGGATTATGGAGGCCCCTGTGCTCTTAGGAACCTTAAGTGCAGCAGAATTTTTTTTTGTAACCTTGGCCAGATCTGTGCTTTGCCACAATTCTGTCTCTGAGCTCTTCAGGCAGTTCCTTTGACCTCATGATTCTCATTTGCTCTGACATGCACTGTGAGCTGTAGGGTCTTATATAGACAGGTGTGTGGCTTTCCTAATCACGTCCAATCAGTATAATCAAACACAGCTGGACTCAAATGAAGGTGTAGAACCATCTCAGGGATGATCAGAAGAAATGGACAGCACCTAAGTTAAATATGAGTGTCACAGCAATCACTTGCATATGGCTGCAATATAACAAAGAGTGAAAAATTTAAGGGGGTCTGAATACTTTCCGTACCCACTGTCATTCATCAGTACGTGACAAAAGAGTACAAAAGTGGCCACGTTCAGCCTGAGTGTCAAAGGTATTTAAAAGAAAACAAAACAGCCCTTTTGATTCATTTCTATGGGGGATTGCGTTTATTGCACCAGCACTGCAGGGGTCTCTGGCAAAATGACTTGGTCCCATGTGGTGAAGAAGTTTGATTTGGTTCAACTTTAGCCACACAGGACAGTAACATCATCTGGCAAAGGCACTATGGAGACGGTCAGAGCACGGACGCCAATGGGAAGAAGATTCTTTTTTTGTTTTGTTTTGTTTTTGTTTACCTTGTTAGCAAGAGCATTGACAGTTGTTCACTCTCAAATTTGGACCCTAGTTACAAATGCACCATAGCAGGATGCCCTGCGTTTTCATTAGTTGGGGTAGTGCATGTCAAACAGTGTTTATTTATCGGTGCTGATACAAAGGTGGTAGAAATTGGTGCTAATGTGGAGTAGGCTGCAGAGGTCTGGTAATCTCACTTCTTTGTAACTCCACACCCTCAGATATTTTTACTTTTATTTATTTTTTACTTTTCACACTAGTAGTCTTCAATCCACATAACCATCACATCAGATTTAGTGAATCTCCATCTGGAGCCTGTAATCAGGCTTTGATGTGCAAGG